ACATACCGTCACAAAAAGCTGGCTATCGTGCAAAGATAAGGCGGCATCGGCGAGACAGCTTCCTTGCGGCTTTCACTGCCCCGCGTCATAATCAGTCACTACCTCGCAGATAACTAAGCACCAAACACACTTTAAACAGACAATCCGATTAGGAGACGGCAGCAGACGCGCCACTGGTGTCTATTGCGAGCCATGTCCTGTAAAGTCTCGAGCCATGCACAAGGTGAGTCACGTGGACTCCAACCCGGAAGGCGAGACGGACCAACGGCACCCAGTTTGGTTGTCAGTGACTTCATTTCCCGCTGTCAAGTCAACTTCTGTCCACCTCAAGCCTTGCGCCATCCTACACCTGGTAGACTGAACAAGGCACTCCTAGGTAAGCGGTGACCAGGCATGCGTAGCACGTGCTCGAGCCAACGCAACTTATTCAGTGCAATCTGTTGTTCTAGGGTGCTAGCATGATTATCACCACCTAGTACTCGCCTACGCACATCATCGTTGGGGATACGCTGGTGCCATCCGACTCCAGCAATGCTTCGCAAACAACGATGATCAAAGACTTGAAGGCGCCTCAGAACTTCAGACCGAAGGGGCCAGATCTCACTACCATGGAGCAGAACGGCCCTCACTGTGGCCTTGTATACAAGGCATTTCAGAAGAAGGGAAACTCCCTTCTGTCGCCAAAGATGACGCAGGTTCAAGAAAGCAGCTCTGGCCTTTGCAATGCGTGAGCTCACGTCAGTTTCTATGCGCCCATCATTGCTGATGCAGCTGCCAAGATAAGTGAAATGATCAACCACCTCGAGTTCCTCGTCAGCAAGCGTCAAGAGGTCATCAAGTGGCTGGTGGTCCTGCAGCAACACTTTGCACTTTGAAGGTGCGAAGTGCATACCAAATAATGGGACCACTCTGGACAGGCTATTCAAGGTTGATTGTGCCGCCGCAAAATCGTCGAAAAGCAAGACGATATCGTTCGCATAATCTAGCTCAACTAACCTTTCACCAGGCAGCACTTCAACGCCTACATAGTTGGATTCCGTCAGGGAACACTCCATAATAGAATCCACGACGAAATTGAACAAAAACGGGGGAATCGGACAACCCTGACGAACGCCACTTCTGAGGTAATGGCAGAGGAAGTCGATCTCAGTGGCTACTCATGCTTTCGCTGCGATAGAATATCAAATCCTCGTGGTGGTGTCTTACTTTATATACGGTCTTCCCTGCGTGGGAGGCTTGTAAGCATGTACCGAAGTGGAGATGGACTGCGTGAATAGGTATGGTGCTCGATCAACCTCAGGCGCGGCAAGCTGACAGTAGGTGTATTCTACCGTAGCTCTCTGAACCGCTCTTTAGATTGGCTACCGCATCTTCGGAACAACATGAGTCGTCCATGTTTTCTACTCATGGGTGACTTCAATTGTCCCCACATTCAATGGCCTGAAATCCAACTCATGCCCGGGTATTCTGAAGTCGAATCAAAGTTTGTTGATTTGTCGCTTGAAACTGGGGCATCGCAACACACATGCCAACCTACGCACATGACATCGCGTTCGAACCCATCGTGCCTTGATTTGATGGTGACGAATTGCGAACAGCGGTTGCATGACATACGAATCCAGGAGCCCCTAGCTAAAAGAGACCATTCCGTGCTGATAGCCACTATGAAACTTAACTTGCCGAGTGTATCTCCGGTGGAACCGGCTTACAACTACTGGAAAACTGATTTCGATGGATTAAATCGAGCAGCGAGCCAAATGGATTGGTCTCTACCGCATGTTACATCTGTGGAGGACGGTTGGACAATAATAAAGGAAGGATTGGCTTCGCTTTGTTCTCAGTTTGTGCTGTTGAAATTTCAGAAAGTCGGACAAATCAAACCACATTGGTTCGACAAGGAATATGGTAGGCTGGCTCGGTTACGGCGAAGAAGGTGGGACGCATTTCGCCACTCTGGCTCCGCCACTGATTACGAAGCATATAAAAGACAGCGAAATATTTGCAACAAAGTGAAATTGATAAAGCGCCGGAAGTTCGAAGAAAAGCTTGCAACGGACGTGAGTATGGCCCCAAAGAAGATCTTTGCTTACGTGAAACGCCGTTTGAAGCCAAAAGGTGACGTGTCATGTCTGGAAGACGCGGACGGACACCTGCCAACTTCCAGTTGCGATCGCGCATCCGCACTGGCCGCTCACTTCGCTTCCGTCTTTGCAAACGACGCGGCGTCCATACCCATCTCAGCGAGTAACATTCCTGTAGAACTCAACAGTTTGGTTTGTGATGTCGACGAGGTGCGCCTGCTACTTGCGAATCTTGACGGTACCAAGCCTGCGGGGCCTGACGGGCTTCATCCGCTAATTATCAAATCACTAGCTGCCATTATCTCGCCTGCTGTTACGGATCTATTCAACAAATTATTGTCTGAGGGCTCATTGCCAAACGAATGGAAGCGCTCGGTGGTGAGGCCGATCCCGAAAGGTGGCGACCCCAGTAAGGTGGATAACTACAGGCCAATTTGTCTTACACCCGTTTTGGTCAAAGTGATCGAGAAGATAGTAAAAAAGCGTCTAATACATTTGTTGCAATCGAAAGAACTTCTGACACCGGCACAACACGGATTCAGGATGGGATATTCTTGTGTTACCAACTTACTTGTGACGAGACAGGAATGGTTGCAAGCACTGAACCGGGGAAAGTCCGTCGACGTAATCTACATCGACTTCAGCAAAGCATTCGACAAAGTTAATCATGAAGTGCTTCTAGACAGATTAAGGTCGTGTGGTGTCGGAGGATCGTTACATCAATGAATCCATGAATTTCTCGTTGGAAGAAAGTGGAGGGTACAGGTGGACGGCCATCTAACCGATTGGTATCCCTCGACCAGTGGTGTACCTCAAGGTAAGGTACTGGGACCCACTCTGTTTCTCATCCACATCAACGAACTGCCCCAGCTTTTACGGTCACCGTGTGCACTGTTTGCAGATGACCTCAAAATTTGGCGAGAAATTAATACTCTCGATGACTGTGACATTCTCCAACAAGACCTCGACCGCCTCGCAGTATGGTCTGCTGAAGTCCACCTACCGGTCAACCCGGCAAAGTCCCTATTCATGAATCTCGGAAAGGCTGTTCACGGCCGAACGTACACCCTAGACGGCCAACCACTGCATCCCACACCTTCCGTGAAAGACCTAGGTGTACTCTCACGCTGCGACTTGAAGTCCGTCGACAACACCAACAAACTGTATCGAAACGGACTGCGCATGCTCTGGGCGCTGAAGCGCAGCTTCTGCACTTGGTCTGAGGACGTCGCCACTCGCCTCTTCTCTTCCATCGTCAGACCAATGCTAGAGTACGGCTCGCCTGCATACTGTCCGATCACTCGCGGCGAAGCGCAAAAGATCGAACGAGTACAACACGTCGCCACCAAGTTGATCCCCAACTTGAGAGGCTTATCCTATGAAAACCGGTGCATGAAACTTGGGCTCTACACCTTGTCGTATCGCCGTGTTCGAGTGGATCTTATCATGACCTACCGTATTTTACATCTCGGTCATTCCCCATGCTGAGGTCGTTACTCCACTTGCCAGTACCATGCACCACACGTGGGCACAGGTACAAACTCGTGGTACCTGATCTGAAGCAAATCCCACACCCCCTGTGTTTCGAGCGGAGGGTTGTGCACGCCTGGAACAGTCTGCCAGAACACGTCGTCGAGGCCGAATCTGTGCAGAAATTCAAATCTTTATTGCATTTACACTTCGCTCACATATGTTTCAGAGAACGGTTGCCACTTGACAACGATATCACCCACTTGTGACTCCCTGTGTGAACAAGCATTTTGTGTGCAACAGAATGAGTTGCTGAACCATCTCAGGATAACCACCGGACGTGTTTATTTATTTTTTTAATGTTTTTGATTATCACCCGATGGAGTTGTACAGAATTATTTTCTACTTGCTCCAAAATACAGTATTCAGTATTCAGCACCGTTAAATCACGCACCAGGCTCCGATGGCTTGGCTACGTGTTGTGCATGCCAGCCCACCGACTCCGGCATTGTGCGTTGTTTGCGCACTGGCGATGTGGATGGAAGAAGAGGAGAGGAGGCCAAGCGATGACTTGGTTGAAAGCAATGAAGTTTGAAGTTGGCGTTGGTTGGTATTTCCCGACTGCTTGGATGTGGACCGAAGGATGATGAACACGATTGTTCGGATACACTAGCTAACATGGCGAAGAGTCGACCTGAGAGGCGTTTGCGTTGTGAGTCTTTTTGTCCCTCCCCTTCCCTTTAGCTTCTCCCTTCAATAACCAGCAAAAATGTGATATTAGCAGTATGTTACTTTTGTATAGCTCTTGAGTCTACATTGCCTAATGTTTTACTTTTTGTACTGCGGCCTATTAGCTGTGTGTTTCTCACCCTCGGCTAACGTGTATTGATGACGATGATGGTGATAATGACGATGAGGAGGAGGAGGGTGGCGGCCTGAAGCATTCCAACTGGATCCATTGAGCATAGATGTTTAGATCCCGGTTGACTAACAGGAGTGAAGCAAACATGGAAACACCGAGATTGGCATTTGAGTCTCATATGACAGCAGCACTGACTTTAGAATGTACTGCAAAACTATTCAATGTGTTAGGGGAAGAGACATACATTCGGACTATGTGCCTGTGTTAGAGTAGATGAAAGACGAAATCTTCTGGTGGGTAACCCATCCCCACATTTAACGAGTCGGTTGATCAAAGGGATGGAATGAAACGGAATAAAAGTCGTTCGCCAGTACCACATACAATTAGCCCGTCCTCGAAATCCTGAATACCGGGCGGTCATTTCGTCATGCCAGAACTGGTCAGAATTGCGAGTTCGCTAGACCCAGCAAAGCGTACGAAACTATGACTTGGACTTTAAGATCGTAAAAACTAAAGGAAATATGTCTGAACTTTTGCGCTAAGTCATCGGTACGGACCATTATAAAAAGCAAAGTGTGATAAAGTACCTCGTCAGCTGTGCGCAAAAGAGTGCGATCGTGAAGCCTTTCTAAAGTTTCCGTATACTGCCTCGGAAGAATGTGATTAAGGCTGGCGAGTCCCTGGCCCATTTTAATGTACAATCCACCATTTGACAGGCAGCCATCCAAGATATGACTAGCAGAACGCTGATGACAATCGAGTAAGGCCTGATCGTAGCTCGGGCTCTACAACCGGACAATAGTAAGTGAGCGTTAGCATACTCCGCTATTGCGTAACATTGTCCACTTGTAATCCAGCGATATACGTGTACCCGTATAAAGAGCCCTAGTTAAATGAAAGTCCAATTACCTGAAGTTACCGTGCAAAACGTTGGATCCCAGAAATATAGCCCTTAACAATCCGTTTTTGTTTGGCATCCGCTGTTGTGTAATAGATAAGTGATCCCAAAGCTGGAATAGTCAGTGTAATTATTGTTCTGCTGCGTCTTGGAATGAGGCGAATGCGGAACACGTCAACGATGCTTGAAATCATTGCGTGTATTGCAATATTCCGTAGCCCAGGAAAGATGGGAGATCGGTCCGGTAAGCTGAAATTCACCACGCGAAATTCCTGTTGTGAAAACGTGGTTAAGTATGATGGGTAAACATTAGAGTTGAACAGCAAGGTTAGATCACACCATCTGTCCGAAGGTTGAGTTGAAAACTGAATGAAAATATGGAAGATACTTAATTAGGAAAATGTTTTACTGAGTTTATTAAGATTCTAACAAAATTAACTAAATCACCACTCAGAGGATGTTGAATCATCACATCGAACTTTCAAGAAGGGTTATTAGCAAAGTTCACATCACCCAATTGATACAATAACTCTACACAATGTGAAATCCAACTAGTGACTGTATATTGAGTAGAAAGTGAAGTCGTTGTTCTTATTTCATCACACCCTCCATAATAATCCGGATGGATGTGATAACAACAAAATCTCCAGATAGTTAGTGGTTGAATTCATTAGGTTTAGGATGTCAGAGATGTTCCAGACACATTGCTGAATCACGTGGGGATCAACAGTGCGATGTGTACAGAGAATCTTTCCTCAAACAATTACCTGATGCTCTGGCCACCGCAGAGGATAATCAACGGTGCCCTATCTGCTGCGTCGAGTAGGGTGGATAGGGGTTTGGATGCTACTGCTCAAACCTTCACGTCTCCTTATTCTCCCACTTACGCTTTTTCACCCTTATCGTCCCGTTCCAGCTTCACTTTTATCCCCGTTTTAAACACCCCAATTCTTTAAAATGTCTCGAGATATTGGTAGCTCGGGTTGATGAATCAATTGTTCATTTGTTCTCCGAGCTTGGTACTGCCACGTTCAAAATCACCTGCAGGTTGATCATGGATGGAGGATTCATTTAGTAAGCTTGCACGCTACATATCACTGCACTGAGGATGCCACATCGCATGGTGGTGAAACGTTTGCGAGAAAACCGCCAAGATCGGAGAACAAATGAACAATTGACCCCAATTCTTGGCCCTCCCCCACCTTGCTTCAATAGTCGCTGGGCTTCTAGTTACAACTCACATGTGAACGCGGAGCGTCATTCCTGCCCTGTCAACAAGCCCATGTCCAAGCAAGCGGTCAAACCCAGTTCATCGGCTTCCATTTGGAGCCCTCGATCTTCCTTCAGATTGGCATGCCTCAATGTACGCACATTGCTTCAGATCGGTCAACAGGCAGTAGTTGCCCGAACATTAGAGTCCCTCTCGATCGATATCCGCTGCTTATCGGAAACCCGCCTGCAAGACTCGAGCTCTGTGTTCACTCTGCGATCCCCTTCAGGTGACACTAGCAGCACTTTATCATTGCGCCTATCCGGTGACGATGTAGCTTCGAGTACCGGCCAAGCCGCTGTTGGTATTGCACTGAATCCTCGGGCTGAAGCTACTCTGGTTGATTGGATTCCAATTAGTAGCCGGATGTGTGCTGTCCGATTGGCTGGCTCGTTCAAAGCTTCGAAGACGCGTGGAACTAACAGGTGTCTATTCGTTATCGCTGCCTATGCACCCACAAACTCTAGCTACGACACGACTTCTATCATCAAATGAACAAGCTCCTTCGCCACAGAGAGAGTTCGGACAATGTAGTGCTGGCTGGGGATCTTAACGTTCAAGTGGGAAAATTATCCACTGATGAACTGCATCTGGGCGACCAACATGGTGTAGGCTCCTGTAATGATAACGGTGAGCGGTTACTTCATTTGTGTGAAGATGCTCGCTTATTTCTTGCGAGCGCTAATTTCCGACACACCACCCGCCTGAGGGTGACTTGGCGCCCACCAGCCTCGAGCCAGCTATGGACGCAAATCGATCACATTGCGATAAGTTACCGATGGAGAGGCTTCGTCCAGAACTGTCGCTCGATTTGGAGCACGTGTGTGGACACCCATCATGCACTTGTATGTGCTGACCTGCGGATGCGTTTTGGCGGACATCCAGGACAACGTGAGGGCATTGACACCAGCCAACTGACGAAACCAGCTGTTCTGAACGTTTATCAAAGTACCCAGTCATGAGAGCTGAATAAGCGCTCACTGGAGACAATTGAAGCTCACTGGTCTCATAGCCACCAGACCTTAATAGCAGCAGGAAAATCCTCATGTGTTAAGTCTAATCGCCAACATGGACATTGGGTCTCCTCGCAGTCCCTGAAACTTATCGATGCTCGCCGACATATTCCTGCTGGAAGCGAACACAGTGAAACGCGCAAAGAGCTCCGGGCAAAACTCCGTGATAGCCTGAAGAGAGACCGCGAATCCTGGTGGTCTCATGGTGCATCAGAGATGGAAATGGCCGCTGCCTTTGGTAAGCATCGTAAGTTATCCCGGTTGATACGGGAAACGGGCAGCAGGAGACCTGGTGTTAGTGAAACTATACTTGACGAGAGTGGACAGTCTATCCACAACTTGTCAAAACGCTTGGAACGTTGGGCTGAGCATGTTGAAAGGCAATTTAATCGGTCGGAATTGTTAGATTTCTCGCCGGCCACTGATCGCCCTGCTCCCTGGGCTGTCCCTGTGGATCCACCCTCACGCTCAGAAGTCGAACGTGAGATCGCACTGTAGAAGTTAAATAAAGCCGCGGGACCAGATGATCTACCTCCAGCCCTCATCAAATTCGGGGGACCTGCTCTTGTGGATGATTTATACGAGTTACTAGTGAAACTGTGAGAGCAGGAGGCTGTCCCAACCGACTGGAACCGCTCCGTCATAGTCCCAATTTTCAAGCTAGGCCCACGATCGGAATGCGGCAACCATAGAGGAATCAGTCTCATCTCCATTGCCTCCAAAGTGCTTGCCTCTGTCATCCTTCACAGACTGACTGGCACTCGTGAAAGCCATATTCGTGAAGAGCAAGTCGCGTTTCGGCGAGGTCGTGGCTGCATTGACCACATCTTCACCTTGCGTCAGTTGTTGGAGCACCGTCACATACATTGGCGGCCCACCCTTGTCGTGTTCCTCGATATCAAAGGTGTATTCGATTCGGTGGATAGACACACTTTGGGACTGTCTACTCAGGAAAGATGTACCTGAGAAATAGGTAAATATTATCCGAGCATTATACTCGCGTAGCTCAGGCAGAGTGAAGGCTTACGGCAAGCTGTCGTCGTCGTTCATTATCTCTAGCGGTGTGAGACAAGGATACCCGCTGTCACCTTTCCTCTTCAACTTCGCTATTGATGAAGTCATGGAAATCGCGTTCACAGGACACGACTTAGAAGGTGTGGAGCTACTCCCAGGAAAACGACTACTTGACTTAGAGTATGATGATAATATTGCCTTAATCTGACAGCTCCCAAACGTGCCAAGCGGCACGACAGATTAGCACTGGCTGTCCGTCACTTCGGGCATTACTTCGCATCCTCCAAGATTGGCCTGGACCGCCTCCTTCACTGATCCTTGGTGGGGATCAGCTAGAAGTCGTTCAAAAATTCAACTACCTGGAAAGTTGTATCAGCGCCCGTGGGATGCAAGATGATATCGCGAACCGTATAGCAAAAGCTCGAGGTGATTTGCTAACCTTCGCCACTTATGGCGACGGCGCGACATCACCCTCGCCCTAAAGGGTAGAGTGTACAATGCAGCGGTACGTTCGACCCTACCGTGCGGTTTTGAAACCTGGTGCCTTAGATCAACGGACATAAAGAGGCTCTTTACGTTCGACCACCGGTGCCTTCGCAATTTAGCTCAAATCTGGTGGGAACACCGAGTAAACAACGAGCGTGTTCAACGCCTTGTTTACGGCACGGAAAAATATGAACCGCTCAGTACAGTTATTCCACGAACCAGGCTCCGATGGCTCGGCCAGTTATTATGCATGTCAGGCCACCGACTCCCGCGACGTGCGTTGTTTGCTTGCCGAGGGTGTGGATGGAAGAAGAGGGGTGGCCAAGCGATGACTTGGTCGATAGGAATGAAGTCCATCACTTCGAAGCTGGCCTCGGTTGGAGCGTCTCATCTCCCTGGTTGGGGTCCGAAAGATGATGAACACGTTTGCCTGGATACACTTGCTGATATGGCTAGGAGCCGACCTCAGTGGTGTTCGTGCTGTGAGTTTTTTGTTCTGCCCTATCCTCTTAGCCTCCCCCTCTAACCACGATCTCACTATATAGCCATATACAATTTTGCATAGTAAATTCTTCTTTTGCTGCTCAGTAACCGGCTGGTAGCTTACCGGAACGATGCCCTTCCGTTATCGGTAGCTCAACTGGCTTGTACCTGTTGCATTTGCCCTTTTTTTCTTTGATGTATTGCGGCACAGTAGCTGAGGTGTTTCCCACCTCTAGCTAACGTTAGTAATGATATACAGCCGGTAGTTAGCAGCTCTATAACACGCTGAACATAGAGGTAAATGTTCATAAAAATTGGTGAAAACCTGGTGTAGATATTCGTGGATGCGAACGGAAACAAGTGGTGTCCTCCAATGTCATCACAGCGCTGATCAAAACAAGAGAAATACAGTAGTCATTCAAAGCATTAGCTCCAACGGAATGATAAAATGGACGCGCATGTTGGAGAACCTTGCATTTCCATCCGATTAGCTAATGGGATTTATTGCGTAGCACTCAACCCGCTTCTAAACAGCTATCAAAGGCCACGACAGCTGTGAAGAATAGGTAAGCGAAAGCAAGTACAGGCGTTGTAGATGCGGATGAAAAAGCAAGTAATGGTGTGTTGCGTTGGTTGGAAATAAATGAGGAAGCATAAAGTACCGAAACCCGAACCCAAGGTTGGAAAAACGATTTCGAAGGAATGGGGAAGCTAAAGCAAAAAATAGCAACTTTCATTATCTCGCTGTAGTTGTCCCAAAAATATTCCGTAATGAAACGGCTCTCACACTGGAAGCAAGGGCGTTTTCGTAACAGATTACAGTTTCAAATGGTGAATAGTTCTCGTTTCAGTACTGAAAATATAGTCTAACAAAAAAACGAGCTTAAGCTCGTTTTCGACAATTCATCATCAGGCCAAATACAACACATTTAAGTAGTTAAGATACAAAAAGGTGGATTGGGTAACTAGAAAATGAGGGTGTCA